TAATATTCTTTTCTTTTTTTACAAATTAAAATTATATTATTATCATTATTTTAATTTGTAAAATATATTATTATTGTTTCATTGCAAATTAAAAATTTATATTATTTATATTTTTAAACATTAAATTTCGTCGTCGTCCGTCAAAGTCGAATTTGGCACAGAAAATGTATGCGAGCGAGACTCTTGTTTATTTATTCCGCTCTCTTAATTGAGAGATTGCAAGCATACAATCTCGTCTTTCTGTTACAGATCATGCCATGACGAGGAAAAGTAGAAGCATCAGATCGGAAGTGAAGACCCGTCGTTCGTCGACGAATTCATGGACGAATTTCGTCGAACGATCGAACAGCTATGTCTACGTCTCGCCGACTAATTCTTTCGCTTACAACTGGGATAATCCGAACTCCAAGTACCATCATGGTTGCTTCGGTCAAAAGTTACCGAAAGTTAACTCCGGTAAGTCTGATCTAAAATGGCGTTAGAATCGCCAAGCATGATAAGTTCGAAGCTATTCGAATTAGACTGCGTATTGCAAGTCTAAGACAAAAAATTAACAAAGTGAATTGTAATCGATCCAATTAATGATTACGTTGTAACAAGAATGTGTCGTTAATCACAAATAACGATTAAATTCCTACATTAAATCGTTAATCGCGATTAATTCTTACTTTGATCGTCAATCATTATTATGTCATTTTATCAAGCCAATTTTAATCGTCAGTTATTTCATTAACTGTCGAAGTTTTTTTTTTTTTTAGTGAGATCAACATGCTTTTTTATGCAGAGAATAAAAGGCTTGAAATAACGTACAAGAACATGATGAACGAAATGAAATCTTTCATTTGTTTAGTTGGCAAATTTTTGGAAAAGGAGATTTCAAGATAAGTTAATTAGACTTACAGCTAGGTATACATAAATCTCTTTATCTTACGGTATAAAATATGTTTTATTTCGATTACATATTTAAACCTAACCTAAAATATCAGCGCTATATTATAATTTCAAGGTACACCTTCCATAAGTGAAATTATAATTAAACTGACGATCAACATTATTGAATCGATCGCCGATTTTCCAATTAACTTCTTTCAATCGACGATTGACAATTAATTTTATTTATCGATGTGATCAATGGCCGATTTTTCGACTATTAATTTCCTTCGTTCGACGATTAATTTCATTCACTCGATCGATTTCTCGACGAATTTTAATTGATTTCAATCGTAAACATTGATCAAACTAACAATCCTAATCGATTAATAGCCAACTCTGGCTGCGACGTTGTAAAATTAAATAGAGCATCGTCGCGTGAAAACAAAGTTAGGGTTCAAGCCTAAAAAAAAAAAAAAAA